GGAAAGATGACAAAGATGGAGAAGCAAATAATCATACTATGTATATATATCCTCCTCTCTATAGCTCTCTTGGGCCAAGCCCATAGTATTCCCGCCAAAAAATGGTCCCGACGCGCTTTCCACGGGAGAGAGAAAGTCACACGTTTACAAGTGTACGTCCAAGACATATTGACCGGCCCAAGCCCGACTAATATAGCCGTGGCCCGGGCCAACACCACTTTCGCTTCCCCGACCCTTTTCGGGCTTGTTGCGGTGATCGACGATCCGGTGAGAACGGGCCCAAGCCTGGGCTCGGAGATAGTGGGCCGGGCCCAGGGACTCTTCGCCTTCGCCTCGTTGGAGGAGATTAGCCTCCACATGACGTTCGACATATTCTTCACGGGCAGGGCCCACAATGGGAGCACGCTGAGCCTGATCGGACGCAATCCGTACCCACGGGACTACCGTGAGCTGTCGGTGGTCGGTGGGTCAGGCGATTTCAGGCTGGCGCGCGGGCAAGTTGGGATAAGGACAGTGTCGGTTGATAGCACGACGGGCAATGCGTTTTTTCAATATAATATTACCGTGTTGCATTATTAGTAGTATGGGATTAGTAGGATTGATGATGATGATTTGGTTAATTTGGTCAAAATAATGTTGTCTTGTGTTTGGTTTGAGTGATTGTGGTTGAATGAGGGCCCTTGAAATGGAGGTGGCCCATATATTGGGAGCAATATTAGTGTTGTGAATTGTGCATGATGATAATATATGTTGTCACGTATGGAAAAAAGGTGTTAATTTGGTGTGCTTAACATGTTAAATAGGACTATATATATATATATATATAAAGTGAAATTATTGTTAGGCTGTTTTATTGTTATGCATATATGCATATGTTACTCTAAAAAAGTAATATTGTATGGTATTAATATTCACTTTAATTAAAAATATATGAAAGGGTCGACTCAAGTTAGATTGTAATGCCTCATTTATTTGTGATTTATTTGAAGTATAATTATTATTATTATTATTATTATTATTATTATTATTATTATTATTATTATTATTGTGATATATTAATTATTGCTTGACATTTTGAATGTCTAAATATTATATGTCTAATTGCCAATTGTATATTTTGATTAATAATATTAGTATTTTAAAATCAACGTACGTATTTAATTTATATTGTCTGGAGTTTTGTTTGTTTATCGTGCGATCGATTAGAACTGTCGAAATTAGTAATCGGAGAACCCGAGCCCGAGAGCCGGATTTATTGAATCGGGTAAAATGCATAATTAATTGAGTAGTGTTCTTTTCTGGCTAATTTCTGAGTATGTTATGTTTCAGGCATGATTATATGTGGTGTAAAATTTTTAGAATTTTTGAACTAGGTTTGATAGGGTTAACAAATTATTTTGTGATTCTGCCCGAATTTGTTTTAATTATTATAATTTTTTCTGAAGCTTAAAAATTCTGATTTTTGGTTGAGATGCTCATTTTGTGATGTTTTGCACGCTGTAAAAATATTGGAATTTTTGGAGATCGTTTGGGTTCAGTTCTGATGGAAATTCGATAATTGGCTGAATGTTGTTTTAATTTTATAAATTCATATAGTGAGTGTTAAGGGCTGATATTTTTATTTGTTGCTGTTAACATGCTGAAGTATTTTAGATAAAAATTTCATAGCCTGAATCGTCCATTATCATGTGCTTTTAATTTAAACTCGTTTTTGCTGAAAAACTTGTTTGAATTTTATAAAATTATGCATAAGGAGTTTGAAGCTGAAATTGGGTGATCTTACTTAGAACTGGGATGTGAAATTTATGTTAAAGTTTTAGAACCTAACTCATTGATTTGTTATGCCTTCTAATTCAAGTGTGAATTTGAGAAATTGTTTTTCTATGTTGAAATGTGTTAAGTGTTGATGACAAATGTGCCATGTGTTTTGCTTGTGGCTCGTTTGTTGTCTTTCACTTGCTTTTGTGTGAACTCAAGTATGTGGTTTGATCGAGTCGAAGTCCTAGTGTTCCCATATCCACAGAACTTCACGAACCACTTGGTCGAACCGAGTTCGGCTAAGTCAACTTGTGAATTTGCTACGTAGGTCGAGATTAAAGTGTTGACTTTAGTATCTGGACTTAATGTAGGTGTCGAGAGGTGTTGAACCTCACCTCGTCTCGAGATTTGTGATTTGAACTGTAGCTGCTATCAGGTGGGTACATTTATGATGTATTCCATATTTATCGCACTCATTATTTCGTGTAATGTTTTCTTTTGAAAATTATTGTATGCATGAGAACTCTAGTCTAAGTATCTCGAACGATAGTGCCTTTGACGAATGCATAACAGTGAGAGGTCACCTGCCCGTTGTATTTGGGAGGAGACTCCCGAATCCGTGTAGAGCGGAGGGGATTGTCTGAACGCCCGAATCTGTGTAGAGCGGAGGGGTATTTCAACTTCACTGTCTCCTGGATAATATCCTATGCCCGTTGCATCCGAGGTGGGAGTGCTTCCAGTTACATCCTTGCCGATGTCTGGTCGGAAGGTTTGTTGTATGTACATAGGAGGTTTGCGATAGGGCCTAATAGGGAGTTAGATCTGGATTCTATGCATACATTAATTATAGTTATGAATTTTTATGCGAAATATACTGTGCGATAATGGTGAGTATGATGGTTGTACTCACCCCCATTTACTTTTATGTCCTCTTGTTCCTCTTCCTATCCTTTTAGGTTGAGTATGGTTGGCGGCGGTAGCGAGAGATGATCGAGTGGTGGTCGTTGGATTGTGTGTTACTTGTTTCCGCTTTTACTATCTCGATAGATCATTTGTTTAACTTTGAATAATGATACTTCCGCTTTAATTATTTTGGACATTTTGGTTAGACCTTGGATTTTCCGTTGAATTAATTAATTATGCATGATTGGGTTTGAGGATTATGAATAATTGGAATTTCATTTTGAACTGTTAAATTTTGTCCGTGTAAATGTGTATTTGTTTTAATTGTTTAAGTAGCGCCCGTTGAGTGTTAAAAGTTTTAATTGGAATTTTGCGAAAAATAAACTCTGATTTTTAATAAATAAATTCGGTAAATTCTTTAAAATAAAATGGGGCGTTACATAGATTATCTCGAACAAAAAATTATGGTTGTGGATTATTATAATTACTATTGAATTTCTCATTTATATTATAAGATTAACACAGCTATTTCAGTAACGTGTATTTCATTGGAAAATGATACATTGTCAACCTAATGTACAACTAGGTTAATAACACAAGTAAAAATATTCAAAAAAATAAAAATAAAAAAATAAACAAGTGGAAGTTGTCAACCTAATGGTACACTAGGTTGTCAATGTCACATTTCCCATTATTCATATATCTCACACATAATTCCATTAAATATATTTTGTGAAGCACAAAACTAAGAAGTTTTTTTCTAGCTTATCCTGCCTCGAGAGTAATAAGCTGATTACCAGTTCAATCTATATATATATAATTGCTAGCTAATCCTATTTAATAAAACATTTAATAAAAATATTTTCACTTTCCCTTCAAAAGGAGTTACATTTTTTTTAATTAATTACTCATTAATCTCACATTTAAGAAGGTTTTTTATAGTTAAATTTAATTAGTTAATGACTAAAATAAAAAGATCTATTTTAATTAATCCCACATTTATGTTAAGTACAGTATTATCTTAATATCTTATCAGTTTTTCAAAAAAATAGTAACTTTTTTCAATAAATTTTATAAAAATTAGTCAAATGTGCTTATATTCATATAAATCAGAAAAAAAATTAAATCTTAGATATATAAAAAGAACATCGTTGAAATAACTTGAATCCGCAAGGGTAATTCTATACTCATTATCAATTACTTTAATTTTTTTGTTTATATAAAAAAAGTAATATTATATTTACTCATTTATATTTAGATGGTATTTTTTTTATTAAGACGCAAGGACAATCTCTATCAATCAATAAGAGTCGAGGACAAATAATATAAAGAAGTGTTTCTTGTGCTATGACATGATCAATAAGAGTCAAAGACAGTCTCTGTCGCACGTCGGCTTACTACTGAAGAGCTCTGCATTTAGTCATGAGCAATTATACGTGGCGCTTTTTAGAGTTACGAGTCTGTGGGGTTTGAAGATTTTGATTTGAGCTGAGGGAGATTTTGACGATAGAAAAATCACGACGTTGTTTTATAAAGAAGTGTTTAAGAATATTTATATATTTTTTCTTAATTTTTTTCAATGAATTTGTTATGATTTTTACTGTTGTTTATAATTTTTATTATTTTTTCATGTATCGTATAGTTTTTCGTGCAAATACACGGGACAAAAACTAGTAGTTTTGAATTTTAATGCGTAGTTGGCACTTTAATGTTATTTTATATATTTACTTACTTTAAACAATATTGCAATCATCGTGTCAGTCATGACTCCAAATAAAATCAACCAAAACCACCTATAAAAACAAGCTAATCGTTCCACAATTATTAAGAAATAATTCTAAACAATGGAAAAAATGAAAAACCAAATCATAACACTCTTTATGATTTCCACTGTAGCAAATGTTTCTATAGCCGATGGCTTAGCTTCAAAAGACTTTCTTCAAACTTCTTCCAATGGAAAAGTGAAGTGACTCGTTTACAGCTCTATGTACAAGACATATTAACCGGCCGAAATCCGACCAATATTCCGGTAGCCTCTGCAAACTCCACACTTACATCCCCTACATTTTTTGGGCTTGTTGCGGTGCTTGACATATTCCAGTCAGAATCGGGCCAAGCCCGAATGCAGAGACAGTGGGTCGGGCCCAAGGATTTTTCGCCCACTCTTCATTAAATGAGATAAGTATCCACATGACATTTGATATCGTGTTCACGAAAGGCGAGTATAGTGGGAGTACGCTTAATTTGGTGGGTCGAAACCCCTATCCGAGAGAATATCGTGAATTGTCGATTGTCGGTGGGTCGGGTGCATTTCGATTGGCGCGCGGCTTTGTTGAGATTCGAACCGTGTCGGCCGAAAACTGGACGGGAATCGCATTTTTTCAGTATAATATTACGATTTTACACTATTAATTTATGATTTGTTGCTCAATTTATCAAAATAATTGAGTTAATTGTGTTTGATTGTTTGATTATTTGTCATGTAATATTCTATATTGGTTTTCATACCTTGCACTATTAATTTATAATTTGTTGCACAATTTATCAAAATAATTGAGTTAATTGTGTTTGTTTGTTTGATTATTTGTCATGTAATATTCTATGTTGGTTTTCTTGTCTTGCATTGTGTCATGTTTGGTGATGCACGTCACATTTTGTAAAATGTAACCTCAATACAAGAAAAGAAATTTCAATTGAAAATGAAATATATTCGAATGGATATTCTAATATTATTGTTTTCATTGGAATTTTCTAATGAAAACAATTGGAGATTTCAACAAAAATATTCTGTTTGAATGATTTTTTCGTTGGAATTTGACGAATTCAACGGTAAATTTTCCAACAGTGGTGGAAATAAAAATTCCAAAGAAAATTTATACGATAAAAATTCGTTGGAAAAATAGTCCTTGAATTATCAAATTTTATTTAAAATTTCATTTTCAATGAAAATGAAAAACACATTCCAACAGAATATATTCGTTGGAATTTCAATTGGAATCATTCCAACAGAAACTATGCTATTGAAATATATGTTGAAATTTTTTTTGGAATATATTACCGTAAGATTTTATATTAAAATATTAAAGTATAACATAACTTTTTTTAGTGTCTGAACAATTAATAGTAACACAATGCTGAAATTTGGCTTTGATTAGTATATAAAACTCATAGAATTGTAAAAGTATGAATCTAAGGATTAAAGTTTTATATAGCACAAATCTTGTGACAAACCTGAATATCAAAACCAAACCCTGTCTGGACCCGACCCGATCACCCATTTTCCTTCACTCGACCCGCCCCGGCCAGAAAAAGCTCTCTAAACCGGCCAATCAAATCCGATTTCCGGCCAATCGGAATCTGCACGTGGGAACTCAAACCCACAGCAAAATCTCCGCGAAAATCCACGAAATTAATCCCAAAACTCGACGAAAATCGGCCGGTCAACTCATCCCGGTCCCTCATCCTAACCATTAGGTCACCACCATACGCGAAATCCCCCGAACCATAGTTAGCCCCACCCGAAGCAACTAACTCGACCCATCTCCCGATACTTAATTCATCCTCCAATTTGAGACCTCCGGTCAAGAACGCCGGCGAACAATTTGTTGAATCTTCGGTTCACGAATAAAGTTCGGCTTTGAAGAATGCAATCCTTTCGTTTATTGCCCGTTAGCACGTCGAGACATACGGTCGTTGACTTTCCGTGCCCGTGTTTGACCGTGCCGGCAATTTCCATCTGGAGGTCCGTTTTCTTTTTGTTAGTGAAAACCCGGCTGGAAAAAGTCACCGGAATCCGGTCACCAATCACGATCGGCCAATCCATGTACATACCGTCAAAACTGGTATTGTGATCCCAGCCATTGGTGTTGATAACGGGCCCAACGGCCCACGAGCTCGAGTAATGAATCAAACGGTACAGATAGGTTGGGTTATCCGAATCGAACGAGGCAGGCAAGTCCGGGCCCGGAACAATTTCGGGTTCAGTTTCGGTTTCGGGTTCGATCTCCCGGCGCATTTTTTCCTCCTTAATCTGCATTTTCATGAAAAGCTTCTCCCTGTAATCTACTTCATCATAATAGGCCTTTTTTTCCGATTTACTAAGTTTTTCGAGCTCGGTTTTCGCGAGCGGCTTCAAAGGAGGAAGCTTCTCGTACTCCTCCAATTCATCTCCCGAGGAATCGGAACAATCGTCATCGATAAATTGCTCGGAAGGCAACATAACTTCCTTTCTCCACTGCAAAAACGTCGATAAAAGGCTCGGTAAATTAGTAAATAATCCCAACCGAGGGTCGAGAGGCTTCTTCTCCCGAAAAATCCCGAGCAATTCACTCGCCTCCCGCAAGATTATCGAGACGAAGCACAAGAGCAAAAGGTTCGAAATCCAGAGCTGCCCGACCCGATTCTTTCTGCAGCTCGGGTGGTTCTCTGCGAGAGCCACGGGATTCGCAAACGGGTTAATATCCCCCGATACAAGGCGCACCATGCGCCGCAAAGCGGACGATCGCTGCTCCACGAACGCGCCGTAACTACTCCCCGCCGTCCTACCGTTAGGCGGCGCTGACGAGGCGTGGGTAAGCACGAAAATTGTGTCGAGCCAGATGTCCCGCCCGAGCACGTCGGTTATCGTACGCATCAGCGCCACGTCATCGGTCCCCTCGCCACCTGCATCCAACCTGTCGACGTATAAAAAAACGTCCGGCGGATTCTTTTTAATGAACCTCTTGACCGAATAAAGGATCTTCTCATTTTTGAGTTTGTCGGACGAGAGGCCGGGAGTGTCAACCGCGCGGAACTCGACGCCGTGCACGGTTCCCACGTGGGCCCGGATTTCCTCTGTGCCGGGCCCACTTCGAAAACGGGCCCATTTAGTATGGAGTTGAGGGTCGAGCTTTTGCCAGAGCCCGATTTTCCAAGGACGAGAATGGTGCAGGGGAAGGCAAACGGGCTTTCGCCGGAGGTTTCTAACTGCTCGGCAAATGCATTGGGCTTGTGGCCCGTGTACAGGTGCTCGATAAGGCCCAATCTGTATAGGAGTTGGGCCACGATGGGGTTGGCCGGAGTTTGGCCCAGACTGAGGACGAGGCGCATGAATTTGACTCGGATGGAGTTGAGCTTTTCACGAGTCTCGTCGTGTTCAACTGGATTTGGGCTAGGGGGAATCGGTGAGTTGGGCTGGGCGGCACGGGAAGTGGGCTTGAGTAGTGGAGCATGGTCACCGAGGCCAATCGGATGGGCCATGGCTCGG